GGAGCCATGGGGGATCCAGGTGGGAAAAACGGGAATGGCGACGCCCCGAAATCCCTGCTCTCATCCCAAATCCTGCTTCTCATCCCAAATCCATGTTCTCGTCCCGAATCCCACTTCTTGTCCCAAATCCTGCTTCTCATCCCAAATGCTTCTCATCCTGAATTATTCTTTTCATCCCAAATCCCACTTCTTATCCCAAATCCTGTTTGTCATCCCAAATCCTGCTTCTCATCCCAAATTTTCCCCCCTTTCCCTTTTCCAGATGGTTACAAGGGGCTGGGGGGAATCTGGGAGTGCCTCTGGAAGAAGGAAAAGTGGGAATAGTTCGTCCCAAATCCCTGTTCTTATCCCAAACCTGTTCTCATCTCAAATCCCTTTTCTCATCCCAAATCCATATTTTCATCCCAAATTTCCCCCCCCTTCCCTTTCCCACATGATTATGAGGGGTTGGGGGGGATCTAATATTCCAGGATCCCTTCCTGTTTCTCATCCCAAATCCTGCTTCTCATCCCAAATCCTTCTCATCTCAAATCCCTGTTCTCATTCCAAATCCCTGGTCTCATCCCAAATTATTCTTCTCATCCCAAATCTTGCTTCTCGTCCCAAATTATTCTTCTCATCCCAAATCTCAGCTTCTCATCCCAAATCTCTGCTCTCATCCCAAATTCACGTTCTCATCCTAAATTCACATTCTCATCCTGAATCCTGCTTCTCATCCCAAAATCCCACTTCTTATCCTGAATCCCACTTCTCATCCCAAATCCATGTTTTCATCCCGAATTTCCCCCCCTTTCCCTTTCCCAGATGATTACAAGGGGCTGGGGGGGGATCTGATATTCCAGGATCCATCCCTGGATCCTGAGGGGCTCTGGAAGCCCCCACTGGCAGCAGGAAAACTGGGAATTGATCTGAAATCCGTGTTTTCATCCCAAAGCCGCCTTCATCCAAAATTTTTCCTCCTTCCCTTTCCCAGATGACTCCAAGCCCCTGGGGGGGATCCCCGGTTCCAGGATCCATCCCCTCTTCCCAGATTCATCCCCTGTTCCCAGATCCATCCCTGGATTCTGAAGGGTTCTGGAAGCCCCCACTGGCAGCAGGAAAACCGGGAATAGCTCATTCCAAATCCCTGTTCTTATCCCAAACCCTTTCTGATCCTGAATTTCCACCTCTTCCCTTTCCCAGACGATTCCAAGCCCCTGGATGGGCTGGAGGGGAGATCCCCAGTTCCAGGATCCATCCCCACATCCCAAGGGGCTCTGTGACACTCCTTTAGCAGCAGAAAAACTGGGAATGACTCATCCCAACCCCTTTCTCATCCCAAATTTCTCCCCTTTCCCATTCCCAGACGACTACGGCGGGTACGAGCCCCTGGAGGGGCCGGGGGG